ACAAGTTTTCCAAACCATATCATTAATGAGCAAACAAGATTAGCTTAAAAGACTTTTAGAAAAAATAGCATAAACAACAATCATGATAAGAACATCAATTTATTCTATTGTAAATAGATGTATCATATTCATAAACAAGATGAAAATTCCATTAAATATACCGGATGTAATAGCAAAATTGTCCAAATCAAGTTACAGCGTAATTGTCCATCCTCAAAAATGTTAAATATCTAAAAAAAAAAAAAAAAAAAAAAAACACTAATTGACTTTCTTTTTTTCAGGTTTTCAGATAAGATGTTTAGCCAGCTTAACAACATTTGTCATAAGAATTGCTGAAAAACCTTTTGAGTTATTCAGTGAGAAAGAGAACAGGTTTTGTGTCAGCCTCACTGTCTTCCCAAATTAACAATGGCAAGAGGAAAAAGATCATTCAGGTCTTCAGTAATGGTACCAACATTCATACTCTGGCTTTCATCTTCAAAATCCATTCAAGAATCATCAAGAGAACAGTGAATAAGTTTTAAAAAGAGGGAACAATAGAGAGGAAAACTGAATCAGGAGATCACAACAGGAAGAGGGATCACCATTTCAACTTAGAGGTAAAGAGATCAATTAGAAAAGATTCAACTCAATCCATAAGATGTTTGGCACATAAGAGAGGAGTTTCACCTATAACAGTTCAAAGAGTAGTGAAAAAGGACTTGAAAATGAAATTGTATGTGAAACCTGTGAAGCACCTTGTTACTCCAGGACAGATATTTAGAAGATTAGAGAGAGCAAAGATCATCTTGAATAAGTTGAAAAATGATCCTGAAATATATATATATATATATATATATATATTATTTGAACTTAATTTAAATCCTTAACTATGATTAATTAATGATGAACATGTCATTTTCATTTATGATCGATTTCAACATGATTCTTCTGTTAAGCTTGGAGAGTAATTGTACATTCTTATTGTTCAAAGTAGTCCAATAGTGTTATAAAAACCTTGGAGAATTCCAGTAAGATATCTTTAATCACTTCTAAGATACAAATGTTCAATTTTGTGTTTAAATGATTTGGATAATTTTGCTGTTATACCCAATATAATCCATAAATATACATCATTTAATAAATACATACAATGTATTATTTATTAAAAACAAAGAAAAAACTTGCATCTAACCTTATCACTTGTCAAAAGTCACTGACATGTAAAAACAATAAAGTTTATTATTCTCATATCCATTGAGAGATTGTATCTCCAATACTAATAAGCAAAAGACATTAAATTCTTATGTTGATCACATGGCCACAACATACTTTTGCTGGATCAAAGTGCTTATGGCCATATCACATTAACACAGGTTCTTGTATGATCACCAAATTTGAGCAACATAGAGCCTAGTCATTACCTAGATGGGTGACCACTTGGGAATACCAGATATTTTAAGCTTCAAAAATTGGTTAATAGAAAACAAAAACAAAAGAATTATTCTTACAACTTAAAAATATATTTTTGTTTTAAATAACCTACAAAAGCTGTAAAAATGAATGACTCGGTCAAAATTTGTACTTAGATTGAGCAACACATCACAGGAGACCACATTATAACTATTAATATTGGAAAAGTACTAGTAAAAAAATATAATACAAATTGTAAAGAAAGACTCAAGGTACTTGAAGCTATTTATATATAAGAAATAATTGCATGTAGGAGAAAATTTAATTTTTTTTAAACAATATCTAGTCTTTAGATTCTGTCAAATTATGTGCCTCCTGATGGCTTATTTAAAAAAAAAATAAATTTATATCCCTAACTATTCTAAACATGATGTCACTTACATTTGATATACATACGTTTTAATTAAAAATTTATAACTTTTTCATGAATTAATCAAAATTTTTCTCAATTGTAACTTTGCTAAAATTAACATTTTGGTGATGACTAAAAATGGGTTAATGTACTTTAACAAAAGAAAAAAAAAGATTATGAATTTCTTTTTAAGTGATTTCGATGTAGGATAAAGTAAATGTTGATTGGAAAGATATTTCAGGCAAATGTAATAAAACTTGTTTGAATGTCTTACACTATTAAAACTAAAAAAAAATATATTGTAATATTTCAAATGAAAACAAATTTTGTATAAAACTTTGTAAATACTCTAAAAATGTTCTTTATAGATATTTAACTTAGTCTACTATAAGGCTCGAGATACTAAGAAAAGTCTAGTTTGATGGCTGGTTGTTTTGTACAATTCTTCAATTATATATAAAACTGTTTTTATGTACAACATCATTGAGATTAACAAGTCAATAAAAATGTGTGGTAGGACTGAGATTTTATTGAGTAGGGTGTGGGACAATTCCTCAGGTTGATACTGGCTTTGAAATGGTGTGCGCACAGGCTACGGATGAATAGAGGGAAAAATTTTGTAAAAATCACAGTAACATGGTATAAAATTCAAATAAATATGCAGAGTGAAAGCCTGTACAAGATCATGAAATCGATTCAACCTGAAAAATATAACACTGTTAAACATCTTGTACACTTATAAATCTACCATTTGTCCATGCATTGAATATTGCTGACTTATCTAGTCTGGTGTTCCTGCTGTGCATCTCTAGATTCTTGACAAAATCCCAAGAAGAGTCTGTAATGTAATCGATCCTGATCTAGTTTCTCAATTTCTGTCATTTTTCTAATACTTCTCTCTGTCTTTTCTATAAATATTTTCAAGGCAGTTGTTCTGATGAGCTTTCCTCCTTGCTAACTCGACTGCATGAATTTAAGCGTGCTACTAGATTGGCAACTAGGTCTCACCTAGTTTACTGTTGAACTCACTAGATGTAACCATAAGTTTTATTCTCCTAGTTTCTTTTTTCACACTTCTCACCTGTGGAACTCGCTTCAGATTTCTTGCTTCCCTGCTACCTGCAATCTTCAAAATTTTAAATGCAACACCAATCATGATCTTATGCCTTTCTGAACCTGTTCTTTTATTGTGCTTTCTCCTCACTAAAGTCTTCTCATTCTCTTTTTCACTCCAAGTAACCCCTTTGTGTTTTAGTGGCATTATTGCCTTACTTGGGGTGAAATGATTAAAAAAAATACTCTCATGTTAATCCAAGTGTAGTATCTGTAAAAAGAAACGTTAGTTTTCCTTTACTATTTTAGAGTAAATATCAATTTATACGCAAATCTATCAAAACAAACAATTATTAATCAAGATAAAAAGCTTAGATTAAATGTGAAGTTGCTTTATGTAATTTTAGTGTTGATTTACTCTTGTCAGTAATAAAAATCCAAATTCTAGATTCATACATCTACATTATTCTTCTATGTGAAGTGTCCCTTCAGGATATGGGCAATCTTCATTCTCCACAATTTTCTGTCCTTTGTTTGTCTTTTTGCTATCCCTACTAATCCCTGTTCTATCAACCATTTACACAAGCTTAGATTATTTGCTGCTTTCAACATGTCCTGTTAGTATTAAATTTTCCAAGTCTTCTTTCCTCATATGCCCTAGAGATTTCATTGATCTCTTCCTGATGTGAACTATGAGTGTCCCTTTTGTTTTTGTTTTTTTGTTGTTTTTTTTTTTAAATTTGTCTTTGCTCACTTGTTTGGTTTATGGTATTCTCAGCATCCTTCTGTAGAACCACATTTTTGTTGCTTCAAGTCTCTTCTTCATCTGTGATATATATAATCAATGCCATATAGGAGGATCAATATTACATAACACTCCAGTATTTGAAAAATGGTATTCTCTGATGACTGTTGCTGATACTAGATATATTTTAGCATAATTGATGGCCTTATTCCAGCTTAGAATAATGATACTAAGATTAAAGATTAAATATACAAAGATTGTATGTTCCTTTCTTATTTAGAAACCAAATATACCATACATTATTTTGTGTTTTACCAATGAAAATATAAATTAATTCTTTGCTTTCGCTTCCTCTATGTTCTGCTATCCTTGACATAATGACTTTTCTAATGTTGATTAATGGCTTACTAACAAGCCAGAATTAATTAGTTCTGAAAAGTACTTTTTGGCATCTGACCACCTTTTCTTTCTGAAAAACAAGCAGCCAAAACTCTGATTCTGACCTTCAGAAAGAAAACAGAAGCCAAAACTGATCTCAAACCTTTAACCCTTTCTATTTCTCTCATCAGTAAAAACGTGATAAATTTATCTGCAACTCTGACTTAACTTAAGGTTATTGAAATATTTGAATCCTAGAGAGACCCTCTACCCATTTTCTTTCCTTCTTTTTTGCCATAGAAATATTTTTGAGTTGATTTTACTTATTTTTTTTTTTTTTTTTCATAAAACTAAAAATGTTATTTTTAACTGTTAAGTTGGTGTGGTTTGCCAAGATGAATTTGTTCCTTTAAATATAATCAATTATTGAATAAATTTAAAAAAAAAAGGAGCACAAGCTGAAACAAAACAATTTTTTTTCTTTGTGAAATGAAATCTAAAGTTAACCACTAGTTTTATAGACATAAAGGTTTTTTTCTTTGCCAAGAAATAACAATTATTTGATTTTCACTGAACTTACTATTTTTATCAAAATGCAAATTTTATTATACAGCAGGTAATATGTACAAGGAGTAGAGCTTTTTTCTTTTTTTTTTAACTCAGATGATTACTTTATATCTTGTATCCCTTTGACTGGATCTTAAATTATGAAAATGAGGGAAATTTAAAATAGTACATTTTTTACTATCCTGAATGATATTGTAAATTGAAATCACCTCATGACCAATGTTAATATGTGAGAATTCTTTTGACCATCATGGGATGAAAAGTATACTTGTAGTACTATTGATTACTTGCATATGTGATCAATTTACATCATTCCTACCATGATATTTATACAGGTAAAGTATTCCTAGTTTTACAAAAAACAGATTTTAGAATGTATGGTCATCAGCAAGCTTATCAGCCCAAGGTGTGAGCTACAAATTGGAAATATCAGAATTCAGCAATTACAGAAATTTATCTGGCTGGTGTTGCCACTGACGACATTAGATGACATCTGGCTGGTGTTGCCACTGACGACATTAGATGACATCTGGCTGGTGTTGCCACTGACGACATTAGATGACATCTGGCTGGTGTTGCCACTGACGACATTAGATGACATCTGGCTGGTGTTGACATCTGGCTGACGACATTAGATGACATCTGGCTGGTGTTGCCACTGACGACATTAGATGACATCTGGCTGGTGTTGCCACTGACGACATTAGATGACATCTGGCTGGTGTTGCCACTGACGACATTAGATGACATCTGGCTGGTGTTGCCACTGACGACATTAGATGACATCTGGCTGGTGTTGCCACTGACGACATTAGATGACATCTGGCTGGTGTTGCCACTGACGACATTAGATGACATCTGGCTGGTGTTGCCACTGACGACATTAGATGACATCTGGCTGGTGATGCCACTGACGACATTAGATGACATCTGGCTGGTGTTGCCACTGACGACATTAGATGACATCTGGCTGGTGTTGCCACTGACGACAGATATGGTTCTAAAGAAGAATGCTGAGAATATGGTTGATGGAACAAGCAGTTATTAAGAAAATGGAAATGAACATTATACTTAGAATCAGAAAGTGACAGTTTAAAATTTCTAAGACACAGAATAAGGAAAGTGGGATTGGAGAATTTGACACTCATATAACATTGAAGATAAGAGGATCATGAAGGAATCAATGACAACTAACTTACTTAAGAAGCTTGTGTAAATGGATAGCAGAACAGAGACTGGGAAGAACAATAAGGAGACAAACATTACTTAGAGCTACAAAGGATAAGAAGTTGTGGAGAACCATGATCAATCTTCATAACAAGCTTGTGTAAATGGATGGCAGAACAGGGACTGGGAAGGACAGTAAGGAGACGAACATTACTTAAAGTTGCAAAAGACAGGAATTTAAGCCAGGGACAGATTATCCTTTAATCTACAGCATAGGGTTCTTCAATCTTTTCTAAAGCAATGATTTTAATTTTCTAGATGTTATAACTTAAAAAACAGTTTCATAAACTGAAATGAAAATGATAACAATATGATGAACTCATATTTATAATGCTGGTTGTAAAAATTCTGTTCTTTGTTTTTTATTGGTGTTGAAATATGTGCTAATTTAGTTTGCAATCATTATGGAAGTATTGGTATTCCTTAAAGAATATTTTTATTGACAAACAAAAGATAGCTATTCTCGTTTATTTAAAGACTTTGCAATAAGTTTGCTTCAAGCTATGTAAATATTGCTAAAACATAAGTAAAAACATTCAAGATGAGTGTGGGCAAGTTAGAGGGTAGTTTCATCAGGGGTGGGTGCATAATTTCATTAGACTTGGGGCCTCAAAAAATCATAATCCAGCACTAATGATCATCCATGTTCAAAAGTGATAGATCATATAAAAGAAAACTAGTCTAAGTGAGACTGTTTACTTTTACAGCCAGTTGTAGTCATCTTGTGAGTATAAAGTGTCCATTTAACTTGGGTGGGGGCTGCAACTAATTAATAATATAAGCAGCTAAATTCAATTTTAAGAGCTTTTTATTCTCTATCCTTAGATTGTTAGCCTGATGAAAATCGTTTTTGGTGCTTTTGTTTGCTCATTATATCTCTGACTTATATATACCAGAACTACATATAACACCTTCTTTATTTATAAATGTATGATTTTTTTGGTAATTTAGATAAACTATCTTGTGTATTAAGATAAGTCAGAAAAGAATTAGAAGCAAGGAAAAAACATAAAATGCAATTAAGGTTTTTTCCTCTATTGATAAACTTCAGGATAATGAAGGAAATACTCCTGTGTTGTTTATAACAATTAATTCCACTTCCATCTTTTTTGCTAGTTTTTATTTGCTTTTTCATGGATACTTGAATCCTATTTTTGAAGCATTCTTTGACAACTAAACTCTATTAATGGTTTGCATTACCAGACACTTCATATCAAAATGAAAATTCTCTTTGCATTTTAAAATCATATTCTATAACATTTTTAATTTCAGTTTTTGCCTTTTATATTGTTATGCATAATTGCTTTTTTTTTTCATTTTATATAGATAGAAAATATTTTTGTTTCCTTTTTTTTTTTTTTATTTTTTAAGATAGTTCAGTATTTGAGAAAGAAATGACCTAATTTCCCACATACTACCTCACAAGCAGTAGTGCAAAATTTCATACTACAACCATTTTACATGTGCCACTCAAATTCTCTGAACTTTTTGGTAGGCCCTTCTATATACAAGATTCATCAGACTTTAGCAGAAGTACTTGGTCTTGCTTGGGTTTCTAAATATTTAAAATGAATATAATCAAATGACTTCACTATACTTTGTACCAATTACTTCAAAAATATACTGACATGTCTTCATTTAGTCAAAGAATGTTGATTCTGACCAATTAAGGAAAATACTTCTATTTTAATATTTATAAAAAAAAATTATGAAAGCATAAATACAGAACTTAAATAAAATTTTGTAATTTTCTAGAAAAGAGAAGAAAAAAATTCTCCCCCACAAAAACACTATTAATTTTCATAATAACTTTTTCAATGATAATTGCATCATTTATTCTTATTCGTACTTTCTCCAAGAGTCCAAGATATTATGACAAACTACATCCGGTAGCAAGGCCTCTGATTGGGAGATTGGTGTTTTCAAGGAGTGTGGAACTATCTCTAATTGTTTTTGTTCCCAGGTCCAACTTTACCCAGAGTGGTAGCACCTCTTAGGGTCCCAGCTATGGGAAAATAATAAACCCTCCAAACTATGAAAGTATAAAATATACTTTTATAGTCAAAATACCAGCAATACATTTTTATATAAAAAATGGCCAGAAATATATTTTATTTGTAGTTGAAGGCATACAACTGCATTCAAATTATTTAGATTTTGGCATTAAATAACCCATAAAGGTTGATATGTTGCTAAACAAAATCAACTAACCAAACAATCAACCGGAAAGAATTCTTTCATGACATTAGTCTATGTAATATCCAACAATTTCTTAAATTGTATTCCAAATTATAACTTCAACAAAACTAGAACACAAAATACACATATCACCACATCTAGTAATTATGCCTGTTCACAAACATGTATATGCATGAAAAATGAGAATCAACTACCATGTATTGTGAAAGCAGAATAACATCATATTTTTATTACTTCTAAGAAAATTGCATTTTGACATTAAATGACTCATAAGGAACTGATATGCCATCAATCAAATCAAATCAAATCCTTCTCCAAGAGCATCTGTACAAAGTGAGCCCAGATTATCTCCACAAAGTTTAGATTGTGCTTGCTGATCCTATATTCCATTCTGCTATTTACTTTGTCAACAACACCTCTCTTAATATATTTTATAAATAAGTAAATGTGATATAGATAGATGGTTCTCTCAAAAAATGTATTCACTTTATGTTGAACATATAACAATCATTTAAACATAAAACATGTATTTAAATTTATTTTATAGCCTATTACTTTTAATAAGATTATGAAATTTAAAAAGTAAATGTAGAAATCTTTAATCACAAAATGTTTATACATATTTATCTAATATCATCAAATATTCTCTTACATATTTTCATGTTGAAGATGCTGAGGCAAAGGGTAAAGATGTATAAACAACGCATTTCACTAAGAAACACTCTGTTGAGTCTGGACATTGGGTGTGATAAAATAATTTGATTTATGGTCCTCACTTATCCTCAGAAACCCCAACACATTTTTTCCTCACATACATTTTGTCTTTCTTTCATTCTAACCTGAGGAAGCTAAAAAGAGCAGATGTGAAATGCATCAGTTTCCCCTTTGTAGCGGCATATGCACACACACACACGTGTGTGTGTGTGTGTGTGTATATATATATATATATATATATATATATATTCAGCACTATACAGATCTTTATAGTGACTTGCTATGACAGGCCACTAATCAATTTGACAAATTTAAATTTCTGATTTTTTTTATTGAGAGCAACACCAACATTCATTCATATTACTAGGTTTTCTATACATATATTTCTGATATGACGGCTTCTTTCTTGCGATTAATTGATGTCCTTTTTTCTGAGCACTAAATTTGTTACAATTAAAGGTATAAACAGTGGATACACATTTAATAAGTAATGCACAATTTCTCTCAATCTCAAAGCTAAATTATACTTAATGTCAATGTTTTGTCTTAATTTTCCTGAAGTAACTTTTTCAGATTTTACTCAACTGACCTATTGAAATGAAACTTATCTTAACCTACAAACTTAAATCATCTCTTGTATGGAAAATATGGTTTTTAAGTATTTCTAACACTACACTTTTCCCAAAGTGAATAATTCTTTTCTAGTATTTGGATGCTAAGTTTTCCATATGTTTTTTTTTTTTTTCATATCATACACTTAAGTTTTTGTTGTGGAATGAATAGTACACTCCTGGTGACTATATGAACTAGTTCATTACTATAAAGAGCTCTAGGTCATAGGTAAGCTTGGTAGCTGGTTGGCGTCAGTCTTTAGACTAATACAGGAGTCACGACAAGTAGCTGGAGCATTATGTATAGAGAATCCTTATAAGAAGTATAAGAGTGTGTTATAGCAATAGCCATAGAATAGTGGTGTTTTAATAGTGGCAATGAGGGGATTTGAAATTCAGGATTTATAACCATTCTGATAAGGATTCTCTTACAATTTATAACGGTAACAAGGATCAGGAACACATGAGTTGTAATTGGAGTTACAAGAATTTCAACCGTGTTGGTTTAAAAATAAATAAATTTTTTTTTCTTGTGGAGTCTAGGGGAAAAAAACCCCCAAAAAACCAATCTTGCGAATATAGAGAAAATTTTGGCTTCCATAATTGAAATTAAACAACAGAAACAGCAACAACAGCAAAATCAACAGTTGCTAGAACTACAAAAACTGCAACAAGAGTTGTTGGCTATAATTCTGAAGAAATAAAAAGAAATTCTTCATTGTCTCTTGCACCAGACACTGTTCAAAACACCATATCAGAATTTATATACAATCCTGATGAGGGACTTACTTTTTCTGCGTATTTTCATAGATATGAACAAATATTCAGTCAGAGATGCAGCAACTGGGAAGATGAGGCAAAGACAAAACTTTTGTTGAGGAAAATAGCTCCAAAAAATACAGCAATTACATTTTATGAAGAAAACCAGGTAAAATCAGATTTGAAGAGATGGTACACATTCTGACAAAAATCTTTAGTGACAAGAGTACTCTGTTTCATGCTTGTGAGAGGTGCTTGAATCTAGCCAAAAAAGAGCATGAAGACATTGTCATGTATGTTGGTATCATCAATAAAGAATGTGAAAGGTTTAGAATAAATGAAATGACTCCAGATATGTTCAAAGGATTAATTTTCATGCGAAGTTTAATAGCTAAAAAGATGCTGAAATACAGGCAAAAATTTTAACAAAAATTGAAGAAAACAATATTACACTGC